TAAACAAATGGAATTGGATTTTTCAATAATCAGATCAGATCAGTTAGGAGTTTTATATCGGACTTCCATTGTCTATACAATTTTCATTCATGACCACAACATTTCGATTGATAAGTAATCTGTAGTTCACCTGAAAACGATTGAAGATAACTTATCAACCACGTTGTGATCCGAAATAAAAATTTTGAAACATTTACGTTATCTCCAAATTTTGGGCAACAGTTGAATTCAGTAGGATGCGGGAAGCGGTATGTAGTGTTTGCTTTAGCACTCACCTGGACACATAATTCTGGGTCCTGAGTCAGCCGTAGAGCTGTTGTACCGGTATACGCAAAGTTAAGATGGCAAAAAGAGAGTTGATTTCGTGGAAGTACTCTCAGAAATTCGAGTAGAGAGGCTCAAGTGCCAATGACAAAAGGTCTTTCTTTCTCTATCTCTAAAAAGAAACCATCTAATATCCAGTGTTTTGGTGGAACTGCATAGATACAACATGTTAAGTCGTCACATGCGTGTATTGCGGTTGGCTGGAGATCCCACAACGCGGGGAAGAAGAATAATCCACTATAGTATTAAATGTTGTCTTTCCAGTAAGAAGATGGACTTTAAAGACATACAAAGTTTTGCAATATGACTTCACAAACGGACGCAGGAGGCTGCATGTTACTGCATCTTGAGACACGTCCATGAGTGCATAGTAGCTGCCAGAAGCACTTTTGTTGATATAGTTGTTCATTCGTATTGACAGTGTAAAGTGTGTACATGGCATCGTGGTCACGTAGTGAGATAAGGGCAGTTTTACGGTATGCTTTACGCGTGGTACGTCAGTAACAGAGGAAAACATTACTGCTGTGAGGGACGAAGGCCGAAGAGTGACATACCAACAGATAGAGGAGACTCTACACCCTCATGCACCAGCAATTCATGCAATTCTGCATGACCATTTACACGTCTGACGGAAGGGCAGAAGACTTGGTGCCGAAAGATGCTGAAAATGTTTGATAAGGGGCATTTCTGGCATGTGAACAGCATCGTGACAGGTGACAAGACTTGGCTCTATTATTACGATGTGCCGATCAAGGCTCAAAACAAAGTTCGGGTCTTTGATGAAGAGGACACACCCGTAGCTGTCAGAAAATCCCGATCTGTTAAGAAAAAAATTATAGCTGTACGAGTATTTTTCAACTCGAGGTGGATTGTGGAGCAGGTCATTTTGGACACACAGAAGACAGTCATAGCTAAGTGGTACACGATACAGTACCTGCTTAAAGTTATAGAGTGTGCGGAAAACCTGCGGCCAAAGTCAAGAATGGACACTTGCTTCCTCCACCGTGATAGCTCTCCAGCTCAGCGCGCCAAAGTCTGCACCAAGTATATTTGACCACTACTGGACTGAGACTGACTGAGCACCCTCCTTGCAGTCCAGATCTTGCTCTTTTGCATGTGAAAATGAAGCTAAAAGAAAAACGGTTTTCTAGCGATGAGCATCTTCTGAGGGCTTAGGACAGTGTGCCGCACCCCCGGGTGAAACTTGGCAGAGCTGGTTTAAGGACTGGTTTTGGCGGATGGAGAAGTGTATTGATGTGGTAGAAATTACTTTGAACGAATTCAATAAATAAAGCACCTTATATTGCGGCACTGCCTGCTTGTCTGACCGTTGACTTGGAAATTATTCTGATGTAATTTTGACAGATTACTATGCCAACGACCAAAAAACGTTTAAAAAACGGAAAAAATTAAAATCGCTCACACGTCCTTCTTTGACGTTTGAGAATTTTAGAGGCTCCTGATAATTGTCCGAAAAAATTCTGTAAGGGTTGGAAATTGAGGATTATGACTTCATGAGAAATTAAAACGCTAATAAGTTCACGCCAATTGAATACTCGTCTCGAGTTTTGCTCCCCGCTCCTCGTGCTTGGACCACCCCGCCACCCAAAACTGAACCTAATCAATGTGATGATAGAATTGCGAAGAAAGTAAAGAGTCGACCTATTTGACTCTATTTTTTCAGCTGCTAAGTTGCTAATGAGGGAACTGTCAAGTTTGAACCAGAACCAGCAACAAGTAGTCCCTATGGCTGTCAAGTGAGATTCAAGACTGCAGGACAAAGTAGTCAACAATTATGAATTCGAAATGTTAAAGGAGGCTAAAGCACAGCAGTGACGAAGAAACTGCAGCAGTTGCCATGTTTCAGAATTAAGACAGCACCAAGCGCCATCTATTACAAGAATCGACCACTGCGAGAGTGTATATAGTTGTAGTCACCGTTCTTGGCGGTTACGTCATTACGTCATCAACGCCATATGAAATAAGTAAACAGATTGAGTCTTCGTACCATGGGCGGAACACTGCGCAGACTAATCTTCTGTTTTCATTCTCTTCCTGGAGATACTCTAATAAATTTAGCACGAGCTGTCGGCCTTCTCCATTGATCGTATTTCCGGGCAGTGTACAATTTTATATTGAAGATTGATAACAGGACATCTCAAATTACACGCCGATGTCAAATATGATTGAAGGGCAGTCATACGTAACGACAAAGTTTTCGAGACGGAGACACACAACTGATAAACGTGTGTCTTTGAGCTTACCGAACAAACGTTCACACACAGGGCTGGTTGCATGTGTATATGTACGAGGGAGATGGAGGTATATAAAGGGATACTGGTAGTCTTACTTTGACCCGCCAAGAACGGTGACTACAACTGTAGCAGCTATCTGTTGAATGTGTGTCATATTTACATTTCAAGAAAAGAATATCAGAACTTATATTCGACAGCTCATTGTAACATTAACCTTTGCATGTGAAACTTAGGTAATTTTTTTTAGTTTACTTTTTCCTCTTATTCTTTCATCTTTTATGCACTAGTAAACTGCATGTCTAAATACTTGATTTTGCTCATTAGAATGCTTGTTGTCATACAATGACCTTCCATATCGAACTGTTCCATTATTTTCTTTGTACTGTTTTGTTTTCCTAATTGCTGTGTTATATGGTATTTAAGGTTGTTTTAGCATTAAGTCTATATTTATAGATTCTTTAATTTATGCTTACCTATTGTAATTATATTCTAGTCCTGGTTGGAAATGAAAAGCAGCGCGTAAGGTGATTTCTCGCCAGGATAGATAAAGGCATTATTATTATTATCATTGGTCGGAACTGTAAAGATCTCAGTTCGCGTTTGATAGACCAGCTACCACCGTGATCGCTAGAGTCACACGTTTCTGGCGGTCGCCATTGCACTAAACGTGCTGCTTGCGTCCATCCCACTATAGATAGCTGTTTGCTCTTGGCACGTCATCAGCCTGATCTGCTTCCATTCATTGTCCCATAATCCAACCCTGGACCATGCTGATGAGTTACCGAAAAACACGAAACATCTGTCCACGGTTGGCTGATGCCGTTCGTTGTCCCCAGAGTCCAACCCTAGACCATGCTGATGAGCTACCAAAAAGCACCAAACATCTATCTACGGTTGGCTGTATGTGGTCGTCCGGACGAAGATTGCATGTTTAGTTGTTATGCTTTGATTTTCATATTATCATTTTGACAGTAACAATGTTGGTAATGATTTTAGTAGGTAGTAAGGTCAGCTGAAACTGTTATGACTGAAGTAGGTATATTCATAGGGATTTAGTTTAAGAAGCTATTGGCAAATCCAAATTGATATTGTGCTTCTACAGGTCCAGGTTAGGATTGAAATTACTAGATATGCTTTTAAATATTCATAACTCATTCAGAGTTTTGGATTCTGAATGAACGTTGTAAATCATTTCAAAACTAATCCGGATCGTATTAAAACGGATTCAGGTAGGCTTGTAGCAAGGATATTTATGTACAGGTATAATGGAATCACTATGACCACACGTCCCACATAATTTGTATTTCCGTGTCAACTGTGTCAACGTGCTTGCTTCAAGTTCCATAGTTTTCTCCATAGTGATGTTTCCAAAGGAAAGCTAGATAAAGTATAACAGAAAATTATTAAAATAACATAACAAAACTATTTTGGTTCTTCGAGCCGAATAAGTTTGATCCAACTGACATGGCTTCACGTTTTGATTGCCAAAACGTGCGACCTTACTCATATGTAGATATATGAAAACGCAAGCATATTACATAATTTAATTGAGTTATGACCAGAAGAAAAAGACAATTGACAAACGAGTACCCTACCTGATAAAATGGCAGAATGACCACGTGTTACCTAATTTACATACTGGAAGCCATGGCTGACACCACAAAGGTGGTATCACCATACGACTGGAAAAACGCCAGGTCTACCTGAAATGACAGAATGACCACACGTTACCCAACTTGCATACTAGAAATAATACCGTAGGAGTACTAATTATCAAATGACTGAAAGAAGACGATCGCCTGGCCTACCTGTTAAAATGGCCGCTGCATTCCGAATGGTGTCGATGCAGATCCAGGTAAATATTGAGGTGTGCTCACAAACAATATCAGTCACAACGAAAAGGTTTTACTTTTAGAAGTTGGTGGAGTTTAGAAATTAGTCTTTCGTGCCCAACATGAACCATCTGGCTAACATAGCTTTAATCCGCGATCCGTAGCGCCGTTAGAAAAAATCTAACAAGCTACTTCGACTACAGATTTTTTTTTTATTTTTCATGATTTCTTGCTGTATTCCTAGGAGTGCCTAGAGGGCGCCTCCGTACGCATACAGCATATATTTTGCAAACGTGGCGGTTTTCGACACAGCCTAATTCGGATCAGGTTAGCATTTATCTAGCGCGCGACTGATCACGTTGGCTTAACTGTTAGGAAAAATCTATCGACGCGACCTACGACGTTGGCGAAAATTATCCCGATTGCAATCACTTGCACGTAAGTTACTACTGATTTTTTTGTTTATATTAGTAATTATATATAATTATTATCATGTATTATAGAAAAATTATGTTTACAGTTTTATTAAATAAATTTTCCATTCCAGCTAAAATGGATAAAAAGACGGAAGAATTGTGGATGAAATGGTATGAAGAAGCACCTTCTGATTTTGAAGTTGTCAGATGAAGATTCGGATATACCTGATGCTGCTTCTGAGCACAATACCGACACAGATGATGAAGAGATGCCAGAGTTTCAGCGTTTTGTACCGCTTCCTACAGCTACTTCCTGTGAACCACAGTTTCTAGGTAAAGATGGTACTGTATGGCTAAAAAATAAACCGATTTGTCGTTCAGGTAAAACTAAGGCCCAAAACATCATCACCAAGCTTCCAGGCGTGAAGGGAAACGCACGAAACGCTAAAGAAATTATAGATTGTTGGCAACTATTTTTCCCTCTAGATGTTTTAGGGGATATAGTGAAATATACAAACCAAAAGTTGGACCAGATTAGAGAAAAATATCCACGGATTCGAGACTGTTTGCAGACAGATCTGGATGAGATGATGGCTTTTCTAGGCCTTCTTTATTTAGCTGGTGTTAAGAGAGGACAGCATCTAAATACCCAGGAGTTTTGGGCACAGGATGGTACTGCTCCATATTCCTTTGTATGTACCATGTCTGAAAGCCGTTTTCATCTGTAGATACGAGCAGTACGTTTTGATGATTTTAGAGATCGCAAGGATCGAATGAATTTTGATAACTTCGTTCCCAATTTCAAGCCTTTGTGGAGAACTGCTATAAACATTACACACCATGTCAGTACGTAACCATTGACGAAATGTTAGATGCTCTTAGAGTCAAACGCCGATTTCCCAATACATTGCCAACAAGCCTGCAAAGTATGGCATAAAAATTCATGCCATGATGGATTCCAGAACTTTTTATCACACAATATCACTACCGACAACTATTACACATCTGTACCACTTGCAAATGATTTACATAATTATCATCGCCTTACGTTGGTAGGAACCTGACCTACTTACCACTGAAAATATGAAACCTATTTACAAGTATGTTTGCTTATGGTACTGGATCTAATAACTGCACTTTGGCATCGTACATACCCAAAAAAGGTTAGAACGTAATAATGCTTTCAACATTCCACTATGATGACAGTATCGATCCTGAATCTCCAGCATTGAAACCAGAGACTATTGCCTTCTACAATGTAACAACAGGAGGTCTAGATGTTGCCGATCGGATGAAATCCGAATACTCAGTAACACGATTTAGCAATCGCTGGCCATTTACTTTGTTTTCTACCATGTTGAACATAGCAACTATAAATTCACAGATAATTTACAAGAATAACACTGCCCACATAACTTCAAGAATAAATTTTATAATGTGTTTAGCAAAGAAACTTACATATCCACATATTCTACGTCGAGCATCTTTAGTCAATATACCGATTGCTCTTAGACAAAAAATTTTGCGTATAGCCAGTCTGGACCCTAGGACTCTACCTGCGCAAGAACCTGAAGGATCGCGAGGAAAGCAAAGATGTGGATTTTGTCCAAAACGTAAACATAGATTTAGGTACCCAACACAAAATGTCAAAAAAAGTTTATCAGTGTATCAACCACCAGGATATTTAATATTGATATTTTCTGCAATGTAATATTTTATTTATAATTAAACAATATCAGTTGTAGATATTTTCTTTTATTTTCAAAACAAAATTGATGGAAAAGTAACAAATTTGGGGAAAACAGCGACTTTTGGGATGTTAGATAAACTGACAAATCATTGTTGTCCTTTGAGACGGATATGGACCATCCATGCAACGTTTTTTTAAAATACTTGTCGATACTGGCAGTTCCAACAGAAAGTTGGATGAAATCTAACGACGAATTATCAAAACAATTTACAGTAAAATCTTTTTGGTCCTTCTAACCGGATAGACAGCAATTATTGTTTCAAGATTTTCGTTCCTACTGCTATTTCAGATAAAATATTAAGTGAAAATTTATCGAAATGACAGCTAAGCCGGGTTGGTCCTTCGAGCCGGATAAGTGGGATCCAACTAACATAGCTTCACGTTTGTAAGAAACCTTACACTATTCATGTATATGTAAGCACAATCACCACTGATTGACGATTGCCTGGCCTACCTGTTAAAATGGCCGCTGGCAGACAGATGGTGGTGCCGTTGCAGATCCAGGTCAATCTTGAGGTCTCCTCACAAACAATATTACTAACAACGACCAGTGTTTGCAGTGTTAGCTGACAAAGCGTTACGATTCTTCAATTTTTCAATACTGGATTTTCCATTGGCAATGTTCCAATAACAAATCGTCAAAATGACAACTAATTGTGTTGGTATTTTCAGCCGAATATAGACCATCTACGCAATGTTTCTCCAAATTTACTTAGTTTGTTGATATCTTCTGGCATTCAAAATGAAAAGTCAGATGAAATCTAGCGACTAATTATCAAACCAATATTAATAGTAATACGTTTTAGTTCCTCGAGCTGAATATGCATCAAGTAGCAAACATTGTTTCAGGATTCTTGAAATTTGCATTACTGCTATTTACAATAAAAATTCAATGACAAATTATCGGAATGACAATGAGATCGTCCTGGGGCCTGATTCTAAATGAATTTTTACTGTTAAAATTAATGCGTTCTATGATAAATTTGACACCTGATTCCTGCGATCTTTCATAGTCATATTATCTTGACAATGTCAAAGGTATTATAGTGGATCAAATATATGACGGCAAGGCGCCATCTAAATTAATTTCAAAGGTCGAACTTCAATTAGAATCAGGCCCCTGGTCCTTCGACCAGAATAACAAGTCTTCATCGTTTTAAGAATGACCAGCGCGATACCTTACCCATGTAGGTATGTGTAAACAAAATGACCACATGTTATTCAATTTGAATTACTGGAAGACATGGCTGACACCGTCAAGTTGCTAATTAGGTGCCATACGGCCGAAAGAGACAATTGACAATCGCCTGGCCTACCTGATAAAATGCTGGCGGTGTCGTTTCAAATCCAGATCAATCTTGGTGTCTACACACAAACAATATCACAACATATTAACAGCGACGTGTTTTTGTTTTTAGACATCGTCAAAATGGCAACATATCATTTTGGTCCTTCGAGACGGATATGGACCATCTAGGCAACGTTTCTTCAAATTACTTCACTTCGCTGATACTGGCATTGCCAACAGAAGGTTAGATGAAGCAGGTATAACGACAAATTATCAAAACAATATAAGTATAGGGATACCGTTTTGGTCCTCCGGGCCGAATATGCAGCATGCATTGTTTCAGGAATCGTAAAATTTGGGCTACCTACTGCTATTTTCGATATAAGATTCAGTGACAAATTATCGAAAAAACAATTAAGCCGTTCTCGTCCTAACAGTCGGAAAGTGCGATCCAACTGGCAAGGCTTCATCGTTGTAAAAATGAGGAACCGAGCTACCTTATTCATGTATCTACATGTAAACAGAATGACCACGCGCTACCTAATTTGCATACTGGAAGCTATGGCTGACACCATAAAGGTGCTAATTACCATACAACCGGAAGAAGACAATTGACAATCGCCTGTCCTACCTGATAAAATGGCCGCTGGCGGCCTGGTGGTGTCGTTGCAGATCCAGGTCAATCTTGAGGCCTACTCACAAACAATATCACAATATCACTCACAACGACCAGTTTTTGTTTTTAACGATGTAGAATTGTACCCGCGCGACCGTGCCTGTATTTCTTGGCTGTCAGGGAACACACTCTCTGCCGTCGCGCTGTGCTGCCGAGCTGTCATTGGGCATGCGTAGAGCGACGGCCAATGGCCGCCGAGGGCGGGGCGAAACAAACGACGGTAGCTGTAAGCAACGCCTACTATTGTCCCTGCCGTTTTTTGTCTCCTGGGCCATTGTACAGGTGTTTCTGGACGAACGTATGCAGCCGGATATTTTGTGTGGAGTGAATAAGAAAGGAGTCGTTGAGGAGGTGTAGGTGGAAAAGTTTGTCAAGGTCGTTGGGCGCGACAATTATTTATTTGTATGCCACTGAAAAAGTGTCTCATAAGAAGCACTTCTACTTCTCGTGTTTTTATGTTATACTTAGGTATCTACTCTACTTAAAGACTTATGTGGATATCGTACACAGGTTCCCCGTAGTTAACAGTTAACAGTTATCTGGTACTTACATAATACTTGACTAATGTCTCCAGAGTGGACTGGGAGATATTTATTATCGCAGATGAAACGAGATTTTAACCCTGAGTTGTGTTGAAAGATAAGTAATCAAAGATCGTTATAACTAACATTGCCTAAGAAATTACATGTATTAGAAATCACAGGTATCTTGAACAGATAAAATCAACAAATAATACAAGTTGGCAAACCTTATAATTAATATAATATTAAGATACTTCCATTTGTCAACATCGTCGAGTGCATTTTATAAGTATTGTGACTATCACTTTGTTTTCATTTCTGTTGTTCTGTTTGTCTTTGCACTTGAAGGTCATTTTCGTTGGTTGTTCTGAAAAATGAAATCAATATTTTTATATCTTTCCTATGTAAGATTTTTGTGCACATGGCATTATAGGTAGGGTAAATGCACCTGTAAATGAACGGTACCAGTAATTGAACAAAAGCCCAAATTTAGCTATTTTTTAAGATTTGACTCCCCTCTAGCCTTATTTTTGATGAATTGACATCATATTTTGAACGTTTGTCTTAACTTGTTTCACAAATAACACTTCTGAGATCTGGTGAACGAACGTGTCGGCGGCAGAAAAATTCACATTTCTTGTCTGGTGGTATATCGGAGCAAGTGCTATAACGTCTTAGGTAAGTAGCTATTCTCAATAATAAGGATGTTGCTCACATAGCAGCAGTAATGTGAATAAATACTTGAATAAGACACCTATATACTCCTTTTTAATACTAAACATAACCTAGAAAACGCTAACTTCCCGCCAAAATAGAAAATATAGTCGTTCATTCATTGGTGCCATTGATAAACCAGTAAATGAACAGATCGTTCATTGACTGGGTATTTCAACATGCAAATGAAATTCATCCTTGTTCTTCATATCGTAAGATCCTTATATGCTCTTTCAGTCTACAATAGTGGAACGTTAAATTTACGCCCCGATCCAGTAATTGAACGCTCTTTTATAAATCGTTCATTTATTGGATCCCGAAGTAAATTTCAATACCCAGTGAATGATCGTTAACAAATTCCCTTTTGTCCTACATAGTATTATACTTACTTGCGTGGAAAGATGGGTCGGTATGATGATGTCTTTTTATAGATATGGAAAATCCAAAACCATACAAGAGATTTCGATACACGGAGGCGCAGCTACAAGAGGCAGTAGAGTTCATCAGACAATCAAAATTGAACATTTCCCAAGCAAGTAAAAAATATGGAATTCCGAAAAGTACTTTATCGAATAAATTAAGAGGCAAAGTGCCTGCAGTGAGAAAAATGCGACCCACAACCATTCTTACAATGGAAGAGGAGGCCAATCTAGAAAAATGGATTTTATCCAAAGCAATGTTAGGTTTTCCAATGCACCCAGACGAAGTTAAAGATTCAGTTCAACGAGTTTTGAAAATTGTGAAACGACCAAATGTTTTCACAGATGATAGGCCAGGAAAAAAATGGATGAAACTTTTTCTTCAAAGGCACCCCAATGTTACGCAGCGAAACACTGAAATAATTTCAAAAGGTCGAGCATCAGTTACAGAAGAAGGCATTCGGACATGGTTCGGTGAACTACAGGATTATCTAATCAGCGAAAATGCTGAGGATATTCTATCATGCCCTGAAAGAATTTTTAACGCAGACGAGACAGGGTTGCAGACATGTCCAAAATCGGGAAAATTGTTAGGTACAAAAAATTATAAGAACTTTTATGAGCTGGCAAGTGGACCAGAGAAAGAGTGCATTACCGTCCTTTGCACTTTCTCGGCGGCAGGTGTCTGTGTACCTCCGATGGTGGTGTATCCATACAAAAGAATACCTCGGGATATTGTTACATCTATGCCAGATAATTGGGGAATAGGTCGGTCGGATTCAGGGTGGATGGTGAGTGCGACATTTTACGAATTCGTAGCCAATATCTTCTATCCATGGTTGGAAGAAAATCATATAAAACTACCCGTTTTGTTACTGTTAGATGGACACAAATCGCACATAAGCATGGATCTTTTCAACTTTTGCATAAAAAACAATATTATATTATTTTGTTTGCTGCCTAATGCTACTCACATACTCCAACCCTGTGACGTCGCGGTGTTCAAAGCTTTGAAAGTAGCCTGGAAAGATGTTGTTATGAGGCAAAAACAGGATTCACAAAAGTCTATCACAAAAACCAACTTTGCACCTCTATTTAAAAATGCTTTTGATAAAGCCATCAAACCTGAAACAATAATGGCTGGATTTCGAGTAACCGGTTTATTTCCTTTTGACCCAAATGCAGTAGACTATTCGAAATGTATTTCGAACAGGCGGAAAGAAATTCGGGAGTTTGAAGTTGTGCGAACTATTGCAAATCCTGTTAATTCTGCAGATTATAAAAGTACTCTTAAAGTTCTCGAACATCATGGATCCACCCTTATTAGACCAGTTTAGTCGATTGAGAGATATCGGAGATTCATCTACAAACCAACTATTTCACATTTGGAGTTTGTGCAAAGACGCAACTGTTCAAATACCCAGAGAGGAAACTGATCAATTTGAATCACTAATAAATGATTTTTCTGATTTCAATGAATTCGATATTAATAGTATGCCTATTGAACTTGACGGGATAGTGTACAGTAGTGCTACGGAAAACCAACAATTAGACGAGTCAGTAAGCTGCGCTACGGAAGAACCATCGAAAAAAATTATTGTACACAGTGTTGTTACCCTCGAAGACCTGGTGAAGAATAGAGGGGGAGACCAGCTTACGATGGAAGATGTTAATTTGATTAATGAATCTGAAAGTATTTTACAAAACTACAGCGTGACAAAACCTGAAAAACTACAGAAGATTGAAAGTCAACACAATGAACAAAACAACGCGGAAGATAATATTTCGCAGGATAAACATTGTAACGTAGTATTAGAAAAGGAAACTTCAATGAAGCCAGTGGAAGCGGACAACATTTCAGAAAATACGCTCCCGAAAAAGGTTATAGATGAGAAAGAGGTGTGGTCGCAACATTTGCGTTGGCCTAGTGAACCAGTGAAGTCTACAAAACGTAAATCTAACGATAACACTCGTATGCCGTACGCAATTACTTCTAAGAAGTTTAAAGAATTTATGGATAAGAAAGAAGCAGTGAAACAGAAAAAAGAAGAACTGAGAGTACAACGAAAATTGAAGGTCAATTTGAAGGCTAAAACCAAGAAGATTAATCCTAAACCTAAAACTAAGATAAAAGACAACATTAAGAATCATACAGAACGCAAAAGTGGTGGAAATGACTCGCTCGATATGAAGGAAAATAATATCGGCGCAGAAGAAAATTCAAACTCATCTGGACCTGATACTGGGTCCTATGTAATCGTCCTTTATGATGAAAAGCCGTTTCCAGGAATCGTCAAGAATATAGAAGGCGAGGAATACGAAGTGCAGACTATGTGCAAGGTTGATATTGAAGGAAAATATCATTTTAAATGGCCCGGTCGAGTTGATCAAATTTGGTACAATAAAGCGTTTATTTTAGAACAAATTACTGAACCAAGATTAATTCGTAGGGGCATATTTGAATGCAATGAAATAGAGAAATACTTACCTTTAGAATAGGCACCTGGTCATATCTAAATCAATCTATAGTTATAGATTTCTAATCTTAAGTTAACGCAACCTAGATATAGTACCAAAAATGTGTAGGATTCAGTTAGTTCATTTACTAGATACCCATTGTTCATTTATTAGAATTTATGTTCATTTACTAGATACACATTGTTCATTTACTGGCAACACGTGTTCATTAACTAGGATTTAGTGGAATGGTTAATTATTTTATTTTTTTACTGAATAATATGTAAGTTTGTGAAAATGTGATTTTAAATATATATTCTCAACTGAAACAGCGAGTATTTAGTATTTTTTTTAAATGTTACCTTATAATATGGATTTATAAAATTAGTGGTTACTTTGAAAAAGGCCTAACGCGTTCATTCACTGGTACACTTACCCTATAGATATGCTGGAAGACATTCTTTGAAAGCCTAAATTTCGATCTCATTTGAATTGATTCTGGAAAACGCAGTTCTGTTTAAGTATAGTTGTATCAGTTTTGGTAGATACCGGATAAAGTCTACTTAGATACTGGTTCTGCCATTTTGAAAATACAGTGTAATACTGATAAATTCGTGATCAGCGACACAAAAAACCCACGATGCAATTTCAAATCACTCAGCCAACTTTTATTCCGTTGTCAAACATTACATATAACAAAACACTACCTATGCATTTTTGAGCTCTAGGATTTTCTAAAAATATAATTTTGAGTCAGTATTACAGAGGGGTGTAACAGCAATATTTCGTCAGTTCTAGGCCGCCCTTGACAATCTAAATGAGTTGTTTTTTCGGGCATCATAATATGCGGATCTAACTGGTAACTACCCTGTCAAAATTTCGCTCGGTGTCTCACAGCCCCAGCATTTTGAATTTGTTACAAGTTTAAAAAAAAAAATAGAATTAAGTTTCCTGTATCAGTGCTGAACAGTAATAACCATATCTACTTATTATGTTAATTTATAGTCTTGACTTAGCGGGAGCTAGTCCTACTAGACAAATATAAATGAAAATACAACTTCTTTCCTTGCCAGGCGCCGAAACGTAGGTATGTTCTCCTATATCATGTAGGTAAGCCGTACCGACTAACACTATCTTTTTATTTTTGAATCTCTTTATTTCTGTCTCCCGGTTTTTAAGTTAGGAATGACACAAGTGCCGTATAGTCAGTCGTGCCTACAATTTTAGGACGCCTGTATGGCCTCCTTGATTTTCATAGTCTTTTCTCTCCTTCAGAAAGGGGGTGGTATTTCTACTTAGATTTCTACTGCTCCGTGTCAGCGTCAGCGCTGTCCTATTGTAAGGCTACGTTTTTTTTTAATAGTAGGAAATTTCAGGTTGATCTAACAGATGATAGAAATCAAAGGTATGAACAATTTGATGCAAATAGTTATTTGTAACATAACCTCAAAATGGAACGCTGACACGGAACAGTAGCAAACTATGAAAATCAAGTAGGCCATAAAGGCGTCCTAAAGTCGTAGAAACGACTGACGATGCGGCCCTTAATTACAGATAAAAATAAATGTAAGAAGTAGGCAAGTGTTCCAAACGAATTTATTTGTCCAGATTTTTACGCAATAAGCCTTTTGTTAGAGTTCTACTGGTATTGTGGTTCTATGGTTCTACTAAAGCTATTCATATCATATCTCGTTTGGACACGAATATTACCGAGACTTTTCTATGAAATAATTTAACAAGGCTTTCAATTTTGGGATAGGTTCGTCTCAGAATAGATAGGTAAATAATGCAACCCGCTAAGAGTGTCAGTAGTCAGTACTGTCAAATCTCCGTTTTTTCAAACCATCCTTATTTGCTAATACACTGAAAAGTGCCGTAACGGAAGGTTTAACGATTGGTTATTGTTCTTGTATTAAAAACTCTCAATAATTGGAAGAGTATCGTACCGTTTCGTATGTCTGATTGAAAGGATTTAGTTGTAAATTTGCAAACATTTTCCAATTATTTAGGGTCTGGAGTCCTTAGAATTTTACCAAATGCTCATTTTTGTCTAACATTTTTGATTTTCTTCAGACTCTGAAGTTCATTTCAGTCGTTCCATCTTACAGAATTGAAAGACGTGAAGGCTATTCCGCCCTTACCATAAGGGTACACGAGGCACGGCCCTGGCTTGACTGGGGCCCCCAAATGCCCAAGAACCGTAACAGTTCAACGGTTAAACAGGGACCTTCGATCTAGACATCTAAACATGGGCACCCGCAAACATTTTTATTAGAGGGAGCATCGACAACTTTTTGTGAAAGTGTTCTTACCCCCAAAACTTTTTGAGGAGCGGAGGGTACCAAATTTTTCCAAGGGGCGCCAAATCCTTGAAATAAAGTGTACACAAATTTTAAGGTTTAAGCGGACTCCTAGGTAGAGGGGCGGGCACGCCACTGTATACCCAAGGACCCATACATGTTTACAGTTTATAAGATTCTGAAAGCAAAAGTCATCGTGTGGAAGTAGGTGAGAGATCTGACGGACCTTACCTACCAAGTGATAGATGAGTAATGTCAGATTTCAAACCTTCCGCACAGGTCCTTCAAAAGACCATACCCACTGGTTTATTTTCCATTCATCTCTCTCCAGGTCTGCTAGACCTGTACCTATGTAGGTACCGCACCGAAAAGATGGAAAGCAAATATTTCCATTTCAACAAAAGTCTGCCCCTAAAAAAATTAACTTTTGAAAATATAAGCGAAGAATTCCATGATTTAGATTAGTTTCAACAAAGGATCTTACATTCAAAATTCAAACTTTTTTCTAACCCTTGAGAAGCCACATGACAACCCTGCGGAAGCCGCCTCAATAGATTCTAAAATTTTCAACAAGAAAGAATCAAATAACTAACTTCAAAACAACGTTAAAAGTGTTTTATTCCAGCATCTGATGTAGATTTCCCTTAAAAATCTTTACTTGCTCCTGAAAATTGCCTTCCACACATATTTGTGCACAATGTTGAATATCCCCTACTTAACGTCTAACCAGGAATCATACATGTTCACATAACATACACGGTATAAAAAGCAAATGTCTGCGATGTCGTAACAAGGCATTTATTTATCTGATCATCAATTACAAGCTAACCTCTGCCCCAAGTCCCCTTAACATCTACACAACTCCAAGCTATGTCTAACCAACACACGTTGAATGTACTACGATAAATAACAGCTATTCATATCACCTCGGATACGAGATACAAGTCGTTCTTCATTCTAGTACCGGTACCATCATATTTTATCCTCTGAATCAGCATTTGCTCCTTTTGGGATGTTGAATGTTGCCTGATTTGGGCATACGCAAGGCACCATTTTTCTTCGAGAAAAGTAACACTTGTTTGAAGACGAGACTAACCAACCATCTTAAGGGAAATACTATATCATGTTAAAACTAGTAATAAGTAGTTTAATCGATCAGTTTTCCGTTTTTGTACAACTTTTTTACCCTGTTTTGGTCAATAATTGATACCTATTTAGGTTATTTGTTTAAATTCACTGTTAGAACTGCTATCAGTCTGTCCTTAACGCTCTCATTTGAACTAAACCGAGAACCATCTTTGTTCTCTGTATCATTGAAACACCTATTGTTTTTACCATCGACTAATTTCCGTTTGGCGTCCAACTTGGAATTTAGGTGGCTTAAAAATGTGTGGTATGTCATGGTTGTTTAAAACCGCCATTTAGATATTATAGCGATATCTAACAGTGAAATGCCAATGAAACAACACTCGGGCATAGATATTTTTACGTCATTTGTGCTTTTAGATGGAAAAGTGGTATTTTATTAAAATATGGTATAGGTATCTTATTGCCCCAAGCATTTTTGATTATAAAGGGTGGGCCATCCGTTGGTTTCTTTTTTAAATTGGTATTAAAACTGCACTCTTCAATAATATCTATGTAACACACGATACTTTATTCAAAAGAATACACCTCCGATTAGTTATGAAAAACAATTTCAGTTAAATGGCTTCCGTGGCTGGCCTGGCAGTAGTTCATCTTAACCCAATTTTGAAGATTTTCGTTAGTTTTTGGGTCTATTTCATCGATAGCTCGACGGATATTTTCCTTGAGAACATCAATTGTTTGAGGATGGTTAGTGTAACAGCGGTCCTTAACAGTTCCCCATAGGAATTAATCCATGGGCGTCAAATCACAACTGCGGGCTGGCCAATGAACGTCTCCAAAACGGCTGATAACGCGATGACCGAACTCAGTGTGTAAAAGATCGATTGTTTCACGGCTGGTGTGTCATGTTGCGCCATCCTGCTGGAATAAAAGATTGTGTAAGTGCATGTCGTCTAATAGTGACCACAACATGTCTCTATAGCGTAAAAGTAGGGACCAATAATCCCACCACTCCAAAAACTACACCAAAAGGTAACTGTTTTTGGATGCATTAATTTTTCTATGACGACATGTGGATTTTCAAAACCCCAAATCCTACGGTTCTGCTTGTTGACGTAACCTCCCAGATGGAAATGGGATTCGTCCGCTCATACCTTCTGTTATCCACAAGCAGGCCAGCACTCACTTTAACACATTGGCTGCCACGTCGGACGTATATGAGCGACAGTAAGTTGCTTAAGTGCCACGTCGGACATATGGGGCCGACGTTATAGATTCTACGCCCGGCCGTGTCAACCTTATATGGCCAACGGTAAATAGAAATTTACAGTATATCGTTTTGGGTTGGCCTCCTAGGAAGTCTAGGTAAATATCAGCAAGCGATATATATATATGAGGATCAGACTTTCAAAAACAGTGGTCCTATTTAACAAATGTGAAAACTAGAAAGTTTTAAGAAATAATATATTTTAGATGCTACAGATCAATATAGACTGGCTGATTTTTGCATCCTTTATTAATTTTCACAACCAAAATACATTTTACTTACAACTAGTAAAAGGATGAAGGTTGAAGTTCATGTCTTTTGTTTCGCGTATTCTTGGTACAACTGATAATGCTTGTCGACCTCTGAGTTGGATTGACCTGATTGGCTGCCGTCAGAATCGGAGATGCTGCTATCTGTATTGTCTTCTTTATAGCACATGTGACACAGAAAAATTTCGTCTGGATCTTCTTGATTAGTGATGAACCGCTTATGTGCTTTGGGTATGCAGCTGTGATGGAAAATTTTTTGCATGTTTCACATTGCATGTCAATACTACCAATGTTGTTTTTGCAAATAAAGCATTTGTGTTCTTCACGCTTCCTATTTATTTGAGATTTGGCTTTAGTATCCTTTTTTAAATTTGCTTTTTCTTCACGTTTTCTTTTTCTCTCTTCTTTTTCCTTTTCTTCTCTTTCTTTTATCTGTTGCTTCTTCTCAAAGAATTCTTGACATTTTTTTGATGTAATGGCAAATGGAATTCTCTCGACATTTTTCTTGCCTTTCCTTCTTGGACTTTCTGAAATTGTGAAATATTGACCGAATAGCTCAGAATTTATGGGACGGGCACTGTTGCTCATTCGTGGCGTCATGGATGAAGCTGTAGCTGTGTCTAAATTTTGCAAATCTCTGAGAGGAGATCTTGGGGCATGCACTAGTACATCAACTGTGGCCTCATTCCTTCCTACTGGTGATAGTTAGTGGTGTGTGTTTTTTTCTATAGTATCCTGATTAACAATTGGTAACCCTTCTTGCATGTCAGAGGATGATCCGTTTGCCTCTGAATGAGTCTCTGATATTAGGTCTGAATGTACCTTATTTTGATCACTTGTTCTGTGGAAATATTGCCAAAGTTTAAAAAGTGACATAAAATCATCATTACAGATTTCGGGAACCTGCTGACTCAATATTTCAAATTTGTTAATCCTTTCTTGGCCTACAATATGAACAAATGTTTTGTAATCCATGGTCTGATTTTGCAATATAGGTACATCCTGAATTATTGTGTGGTTTGTGCTTTTAGCTCCTAGACATTTAGTGTAATCGATCGCATTTGAAACCATTAACTAGTGTTTCAGGTTTTATACTGAATTTAAAAGCTTTTTCTACGACAGGATCAAAATTCACTTTATTGAGAAGTTCAGATGGGTGCTCTTCTTCCCATTCTCTGACTGTCCGGCGCCATGCTTGCTTAAGTGGTCGGAAAGCAGCAACATCGCATGGTTGTAAGATCCTTGTCGAATTTGGATATAAAGCGAATATTTCTATTTGTAACCTTTTACACAAGAGGCTTAAACTATAATTAAGATGGGACTTGTGACCATCCAAGAACAAGATCACTGGAAACTTAATATTATGTTTCACAAGATGAGGATGGAAGACGTTCACAATATATTCATAGAATGTTTCGCTGGTCATCCATCCTTTAGGGCTACGGCCGATGCCCCACTCTGGGTTTACTGTTTTAGCAATCTTTTCAGGAAATCTCACGTAGGGGTAAATGATCATAGGTACACCAATTTCCCCATTAGCTGAAAAAGCAAAGATAACTGTTATATTTTCTTTAGCTGCACCTCTATCGATTGTGTAATCGTTTTTTGCACCACGTTTCGCAAATACTTTGCCAGTAGAAGGGCTAACTTCAAATCCTGTTTCATCCGCATTATACACTCGAGTAGGATCAGATATCACATCTTCCAAGTCATTTCCTTTTATGTAAGTTTCTAATTCAGAGAACTATAGTCTGATATCCTTTTCGAATACACACGCACTAGCTGCGCTCACAGATTCGCTACTTCTTTCAACAATTTCCGGATGCCTTTTCAGAAAAGCCTAAAACATGATCTTTATTAAAAAATAGCTATGAATTGCTTTATAGTCATACTTTAACCCATCCATCACCAGGCCTATTGTTGTTGAAAGGATTTTTCCGCGGATGATCATTTTAAAAATTTTGCACACTGGACTTGAGGTCGTTCGCCGGAAATCCTTTTCGTGCTGTTTCTAGGATCCAGCTAGAAATCGATTGCCAAATGTTATAATAGATAATAAATAGTTATATTATTAATCCATTCACTTCACCAATATCATCTCTTCCTCTTCGTTGAGAACAGGTGAGGGACCACAAGTATTTTGGTGATCAGGATGCTTAATTTTAAATTCTATAGTCGATTTCGGAACTCAATATTTCAATTCTGCAGATCTATATGATTCAACTTTGTTGATGACGTCTTGCACTGTTGCTTTTATCATAGTCCTTGACCTTAGGCATCGTTAGTCACTAAAAATAAACATATTATACAGTTATTGGATACTCTATCGCCAATTATTGGACATCCGTCCAATAACTGCTCACAGTGCTCTGAAATATATGTAAAAAGTATAGTGAAGAAACCTAAACGTTTTTAGTTGATGGGCATAGATTTTACACAAAATGGTTCATATACAGTTATTGGACACCTGTCCAATATTAGAAATTTCCGCATTTCTCAGTTCAATTATTGGACATATTAACTTTTAGGTTATAATAATAGGATATGTGAGCACTCACAATAGTGCGTCTCTATATGTATAAACTTAGTCATATGACATGACAAGCATCACGGTCAAACTAAAAGTAAACTAACAGTATTTAAAAACATTACTCTCTATCCTGAACAAAAAATTAACGAATACGTACCTGCACTCACGTGCATCACTTGCTACTTATACAAAACTATTCAGCAAAGCAAAGATGTCGCTGGCTTAGTTTTGAGACCTTGTAAGTGAACTGATATAGCCATCTATCGGTTGATAGACGAAGTACTAAGATTTTGAACCTTATTTTCAGGGATCGTAAGTGAACTGTCCCATAACTGTGTCGTGTCCAATAACTATAGGGTTTACCCTATACTTAATCAGCTTTATTCACAAAAAACTAAAGAACTTAACAAAGTGAAAGCTCAAGTACAAAATATATTCGGTAACATTCTTTTTCTTATCGGAAAGAAATTTTTACAAACACGTGGTCAAAGAATCTATAAAAAATTAGAACGTCGGCTATACTACTACTACGGCTACTTTGAGTCAGTAATTTTCAGATAATGATTGTAGAAGGAAGATAAACCAAAATATGTGTGTAAAAATAAAAAAAAATTAAAAAAATGTTACCCTGTTTTATAAAGTATCCTCCCGACAAGTATTTCAGTGCGGACCTGTATTTGATCGTGCGGTCTTGGAGCACCGGCATGCCCTCCCCTGTGAGGTCTTAAGTCACCTGATTCACGAGCCCTTTGTACTAGATTAACAAAGGCACGAGGGGTTGGTTGCACTCGATTGGGAAACCGATCCGCATAAATCCGTGATGCCGCGGCAGCATTTTGTAAAGACTCCCCCCCCGTAAATAAGAATCATGTCCACAAGTTCAGCATTTTCGTAAACATGTGCCATTTTTTATTTCGTTTGAGCCACACAACAAACACCACTATTCACTCACGCGTTACCGACTGACACATTGACTGAATACAACTGAATAAAATTGTAGTAGAAACATCGTGATAAGCGTTTCAAATTCTTTCGCTTTTTTGTTTCCGATGCGATGAACCGATAAGGCGGATTATATCCGTTGTTGCCAAACACGAGCACATAATATTATTATTGAGACAGGGCGGTACTTAAACTTCTCAAGGGCTATAACTTTGTTACTTTAATTTTACCAGAAAAATGTTAAAGGAAAAAAAAATTCTTTTGATCTGATCTGCTCACTGTTAAAATAAATGACTCTACTTCGAAGTCACCCTGTATATGAGCGACAATTACCTAATGAGATTATAGGAATATATGGTAGAAAAAAGAGTAACCAGTTGCATAAAAAGTATGCTGATACAACATTTTACTGATATTTACATAACATTTTGTTTGCCCCCCCATTATTTTTTGCAAAGTAAAGCGCATGGCAGCCAATGTGTTAATAGTTTTTCAATATTTCCCACCTTTGTGTAAGATTAAAGCGATCCATTACTCACAGCGGAAGTTTGTCACAATATATCTGTCAATATGTTGAGCATGGAACCAATAATATCAACATAAAAAAAACAACTGATGGACCACCCTATACTATCTTTTTACCGCACCAGCTTCGGCCATATACGTCCAGGCCTACTATTTATTCAATAAAAAGGAGCAGATTATTGCTGTATCTGGGGGTGGGAAAGACACCTTCTATGCTCCTTGAATTTTTTTTTATCTGAGACGTTATCGTTGGAGAAAAATTCGTTCATAGCAGTAGCCACACTGTGACAGCATCAGATGCAAACTGCCATCAGAGAGCTACAATCATTTCCGAATTTTATGTTTATTACATTTTCCAACGTCACAGCATGTCGCCAAATAGGATCATTGTAATTCCCTCAAGTATGACCTATCAAATCTGTTAGCTTGACTGATAAAAGGATATTAAGTCTCAAAACAAGTTTTCAATGTCAAATTTGTCCTAAAGGTCATTTTACCTAAAAAAGCATCTACAGATGGTCTAGCAAGTTTGAGTTAAACTGTAACGCCTATAGTGTATTTACACCCAAGATAGAATGGTTGCGTGATTGCCAAAAGCAAGGACGGCGTACAGGGCCGCATTCAGGGCTACCTCCGAATGATGGACTACCACCAACGTGTTGTAAAACAAAGATGACAGTATTTAACAGAAACTTAACAAATTACTCAAATACACTTAACAACAACAACAGCAACAACCAAGCAAGGCGAATACGAAAACACGAGCACGCAGTGATACACGCGACGGACGGTGGCCTGAGTGCAACTCTGCCTGCCGTGCCCCCTAAACCTTAGATTATTCAGCTAGGTAACAGTAGCTCTAGACTTCAACTGCAACGACTGAAAGAAGCTTTGCGAAATTGAAAGTAATTAAAATAGGTATCTTGGGACCTCTTTGACTATCAAGCATGGAACTGCCTTCAGAGGTTGTACATCTTGCGACACTGAAATCGTCTTCCGTTACGGATAGTTTAATGAAAAAAAATAGAAAAAACTAGTGGCAAGTAGATTGATTCAGTTCTTCTCAAGCGTGCACCTCTATGCCTATTTTCAAATTTACCATAAGTCCTTGCTATAGAAACAAAATATTTGAGCTCCATATTGATTTTGAATATGCCCTAACCTTAAGAAATCAGAAACGATGAAAGCAAATTTTTAAAATTTTTGAAAATTTCAACCGCTACAAAAATATATTTGATATTACCCTAGAAAATGTGTAGAAAGTTGTAAAGTAGAAAAAACAATCCTCAAAAACTCAAACGTGCGGATAGAACGTTTGACTCGGTACACAAGCGCTTGAAGCCGATCGAGTCGCTGAACACACCTCGAGCAGATTAAAGGTGAGCGAGGCGCAAATAAAACATTTACACAAAAATGGCACACTCATACGGCAATATTCGAGTTGCTCATATTATTTTAATTTACGGTGACTGTCTTCGAAATGCTACCGAGGTTTCGCGAATGTATGCAGATCGTTTTTCGAGATCTTTCGTGATATCTGTTTTTGCTTGGGGCGAAATGCAACGTGTGTGAGCTTAGCAATCATTCATGGAAAGGTAGTCGGTAAACGCCTAGACTGATGCTTGACTGCGTCGAGCACCTTCATGTGTCTTTGAATCTATCACAGATAACTTTGAACAATATCTACAGGTTACAGAGCTGAACTAGAAATTTCTTTTTGATGAACGGTGAGTAGTTTTTCATTCATTTTTCACCGTTTCACTGTTGTTTTTACACATTAGCTTTGTTATTACGTAGTTGCTTCTGAAAAGGAGACTCCCATATTTCAGGACACCCTGTAACCATAAATGGCTGGAATGAACTACCAATATTCATCACAATATTAATAAAAAACCACTTAATACTGTTTCGGGACAATCACTCTTCAAAATGGTTAAGAACATCAGAAAACATGGAAGAAACAACCTCACAGGTCTCGATATGGGAAACTGATCATTGTTAAAATTCATTAATGAAGACTTTAAAATCTATTTAAATAAAATCCAAACTAATCGATGGAGAGATTATTAAAACCGTAGCGGTTGTTGTTACCGGCACGAACCTGGTAAGGTTTCGTACAAATTCTAATTTTAGGAAGGAATAAAGAGAGAAGATAGAGCATAACCGTATACAATGTTGGATACTTATTATTGTGCAAGCACGGTTTCCAATTGAGTTGGGTATCCTCTGGTGGGCTATGTCAATCGATGATAAAACATTTGAGTCTTTCATAATCTTAAGAACAATAAATCAAAGTTGGAAAAACTCCAACAATGTGATGACAATGCTCAATGAAATAAAACAGAGATGAACCTATACCATGCTGAGATGAATTAGCACAAAATTTATCGATGACACGCGTACATTATCTTCGCATCATTTATCGCTACATTTTCCCGCTGAGCCACTGTCTCTTCCCATCTTTTCTGCATGGGGATTGCTGCTTGCCAAAATATATTCTGTTCCAAAGAAGCCATATGGGTATCTAGATGGTTATTTTTTGGAATTTTAAATTTTACGCCGGGATTGAAAATGTTGTGTCCTTTTCTTTCAATTTCTTTATCCAGTTGTTGTTCTCTCATATTTTTTTGATGCACAAATTTCAAGAAAATCGCGGGAAGAATGGTCGTTGGTCGAAGAATGCCTCGTTGTCCATTCCTTGTTAATATTACATAGCATTTGGATATCAATAAATACTATTTTTTGCAAGCTGGAAATTTCCTGTCAATTCAATTCACGACGTAAAACATTGCAATAGTACTCGTACCTATAAGCCATAATAGTTAAGACCTGTTCTCAATTTA